ATGAATTTGAAACTCCCGTCTCTTTTATGTGGCGGGAGCAATTGTTTTTATAAATTGGTTAAAGAAATATAAGAAAAGCGTACGAATTAGTTGGAAAAGCACAAAATAAATTAAATTGGAGACCAGAGGGGCTTGGTATTGGTGATGTTGTGGCTGGAGTATTTACACTTAACGTTGTTCCCGGAGTTAAAGTTGCTAAATATTTAGAAAGAGCGATAAGTGAGATGGTGGATGTTTCTAATCTCTTAAACCAAGCTCAGATTGAGATAAGTTTTTGTAGTTGTAAAATTGAAAAAGATTTATATAAAAACAGAGGAAGCGAATTAGTTAATGATTACAATAATTTAAGTAATAATTCGACAAACAAATATAATGGTTTAGTCGATAGATATAATGATTTGCAGAGTAATTCAAAAGAAAAATACAATGCACTGGTTGGTGAATGAAATGAATTGAAAGACAAGTATAATAATTTTGTTGATAAGTATAATGATTTGGCTAGAAATTCAGTTAGCAAGAGTAGTTTTGAAAGATTAGAAACTGAATACAGAAAAAATATTGCTGATTATAACAGGTTGGTTGGAGAAAATAGTGGTTTACAAGAAAGGTTTGATGAATTGACTCAAAGGTTTAACAGACTGAACGAGGATAATGGAGAGTTAAGGGAAAAATATGAAAGAGAAAGAGAAAGTTGGCATCAAGAAGAATTAAGATTGAGTAGAAATGAGGAAAGAATACGGCAAGAAGCAACAGGTTTACGAGAAAACTTAGTTGATGCTCGTCGAGAATTAACAGACACAAGAAACGAAAGAAACGATTTATTAATTAGAGTAGATGAAGCAAATATAGATATACGACTTCTTACTATTCAAATGGCAGATTTACAGGTAGAAAGCAATGATAGAAATACCCAATTACGAACCACTCGCCAAGATTTAGCGAGAGTTCAGCAAGAAAGAGACGAAAGAATAACTTCTGCGGAATTAGAAAATTTTCTAAATACTTTATGGAGAAGAGAAGAAGAAGTTGCTTCATTAAGGGAACAGTTAGGACAGTCGAGAGAAAGCGGACTTACGGAGAAACTTCGTAATAAAGGGCAGAAACTAGAAAGTTTTATTCATCGTCTAGGGATGGAGTTGGGACAAATCCAACTTTTGCGGGATATTTACAATGAATTGGTTCGCTCCCGCAAGAATGGAGACATAAATGGTATTAGAGAAAACCAAAGCATTATTGAAACAATTAAACAAAATCTTTTACAGGACCGCATTCACCTTGATGATGTTCAAGAAATATGCGATAAGTGTGAAGAAATCGCTCAATTAAATTTACAATTAGAACAACAATTCGAAGCCAGAATTGAAGTGCCTGTTAACAATATAAACTAGAAATTTATTAGTAAACATGACAAGAGAATTTTACCAGATATTAGAAATAAGCGAAGTTGCTACCTCCGAAGATATAAAAAAGGCTTATCGGAAGTTGGCGGCTAAATGGCATCCTGATAAATGAAATACTAAAAGTCCAGAAGAGAGGTTAAAAGCCAACGAGATGATGCAAAAGATTAATCAGGCTTATGAAGTTTTAGGCGATGAGGAAAAAAAAAGAAGATATGATTTGGGGGCAGGCGAAAGCGACTTTTCGGCTGCTGGAAGTGCACGTGGATGAACCCACGAGGAAGCCGACGAATATCTAAGGAGAAGAGAGGAAGTTTTGGAAGGGAGAATAGGCGACATAAAAAAGAGACTAAAATTACTAGGGGAATTTTTGCTTCGTAGAGATGCGATAAATGCAATAAAATATGAATTAGCGATAAACCACGTTCACATAGCAAACTTAGACTCTAATTTATGAACCCCTTATGAGACTTATATAGACATGATATACGAAATAGAAGTAGGAGATGATGAAAATGATACAGAATTCTTTATTGACAGAAGAAAAGTAAACGAATTTAAAGAAAAGATGATTGCTGCCATTAGAAAAAGGAGTGAAGAACTAAAAGCGGGCATAAATGTTCCGGCAATCGACAAGGCCAGAAATACCGCCATCAATTCAATAGAAAAAGAATTAACAAATAGAAACCTAAAAGTTGAGGATTTAGCCGAAGAGCATCGTAATTATCGAGAGCAAATTAACAATCTAACAAAAGTTTACCAAATTCGCTCTTTTGAAGATAGGGTTCTTGAATATATTCGTAAAAAATCCCAAGGCAGAAAGTTTGAGACAAAAAAAGACAATTTTGATTGACGAGGGGAGGCAACCCGAGCAATTAGAAAAAGAGACAGCGGGTTCAAAGCGAGAGGATGGTTTTAGCAAAGAACCTGAGAAAGAGCCTGAGAAAAAAGAAGTAGGCAAGTTTCAAAAAAACAAGGGTAAATACGATAATTGGACTAGGGAGGAGTTGACGAAAAGGATTGAAGAGTTGGAAGTTGAAAATAAGAATTTAAAAGAAGAGATTGAAGAACTAAAAAAAGAAAATGATAATAGTCCGGAATTTCGGGCTTATCTCAACCAAAAAGAAAATGAATTACAGAATAGGCAGCAGCAATTAGAGCAGTTGAGGAGTATTGCCCTTAATGCCAAAACTCCACCAAAGCCAAAAATTAATTCCGATAATTTCTCAACTGGTTGAGTTGTTGGCGGAGGAGTGCTGGTAGTAGTGGGATTAGCAGTAGTGTTGATTATAAGAAAGAAAAGGTTAGAAAAGATTAGTAGAAATAACAGAGTTTTATAGAACCATTTCAAAAACAAATAATTTTTATTCACAAATAATAATGCAAATATGGTAAATTGGAAAAATATACATCAAGATTTTACTGAGGAATTAAGCCAACAATGGCAAGAATTAGGATTTAATTACGAAGAATGCAAAGAATGAGTTGAGGGGGGATTTGAGCCACAAGATTATGGTTTAGTATTTTTTGTATATAACAGTTTGGGGCTTGACGCTAAAAATTCCTTAAATAATTACAATTTAGAAACGCTGAAAAACTTTTATCAGGAAAATTTACAAGAGCAAGAAATAATTGCCCAAACCATTGAAGATGGCCGCGAAGAAGAACAAGAAGAAATTGCCCGAGCCATTGACCTCTCTTTAAGAAGTCTCAATTCTTTGGCTATCGAACCGGAAGAAACCGACCAGATTACGGCAGAGTTAACTAATCGCCTTAACGATTTAACTGCCCAGGTGATTTCTGCGGAGGAAAGCATTCAAGAATTAGAAGAGTCTAATGAGGAATTGAAAAAAAGCAAGAATGAAATAGAAGAAATTGTGAGGGAATTAAATTTAGAAAATGCTGATTGGAAAAGACAGGTAGAAGAACTTAGGCAAGAAAATGAAGACTTGACTACCGAAATAGAGAA